GTGACTGTATGTGCATGCATGGCATTTTAGTGGAGGCCAGGGATTGGTTTCCCTCTACCAGTTGGTTCTGGGTGTCAAACTCGTGTCGACTTTTACAGGGCTGAACCGCTGAACCAGCCCAAAGGCAGGCTTCCTGACAGTTTTATTCACGCCTGTTCCCAGCAGCAAGCTCAGGACTGGACGCTCCACAAACACTAAGTGGATGAACGCTCCCTTATATGACTGTCACACAGCGAGTCTTTAGCAGTAGTGGGAACAGAAAATGGCCTTCTGTTTAACCTTAGGAAATAGCTCCTTTTTCCTCTCAATACCACGCTGGGGATCTTAGCACGACCTCTCAGGTACTAAGCACAGTGCTCTCATTGACCTTCAACTTGACCTAGGAATTGCTGCGTGTTTTGTTTGACCTTGGAACAGGCCCCTGACTCAAAGATGGAAGTACCTTTCAGGCCATGGAACACAGCATGTAGGCAGCATTTCCTGCCAAAATGAGAACAGAGACCCAATCCATCAGAGTCCATAGTTCTGGGAAAGCCCCTGAATGCACTCACCTTGCTTTCTGGCGCTTGTAGTCCTGCTTCTGGCTAACTGCTCTTGTTAATTGAGATGTGTCAACTTAAGATGTGGTTTTTGCACTTAAAAGCCCACCCTGAGAAAGGCTTGTTGCATCAGGGACCCAAACACCCAGTAGCAGCCAGCCGGCTAATAAAGACTTCCTATGGCCTTGAACCTGTGTCTGAGTAGTTTTCTCTGGCGGGTACCTCACAAGATGGGCTCATTACGTAGCTAAGGGTGCCCTTGAATTCACATCCGTTATGCTTCTCAACACTGGGGATTGGAATTCTGGGAGTTTCCCCGTGGCATGTATGTGGTGTGACTGTTTGGGCATGTGGGTGTATATAAAGGCCCCAAGTTAATGTTGTTCCCCACCACTCTCCACCAGGGTCTCTGACTGAACCCACAGCTCCCAGTTTTAGCTAGTTTATTCTAGGTATCTGCTGGGATTAGAGGAGACCTGCCATGGCCCCCAAACTTTGTGAGAGCTGGGGATCAGAACTCCAGTCCTCATGCCTGGTGCCAAGCCCCTTACTGACCGAGCCAACCACCCAGCCCCAGAGTTCAGCTCATTACTTAAAATTGTTTTATTATTTTCTTTCATGTGTAAGGGTGCAAGATGAGTCTTCTCTAACAAAGGCCTAGGAATTACCATCTTTTTATCTCTTCTACCTTATAAACCTTTCATGCAAATGTTTGAATCACCCTCAGCTGATAAAACCTTTTATACTTAGGCTGCCTGCTGCATGCTGGGAATTTGATGGCTTGAAGCAATGACTTCTGTCCCTCTTCCTCCTTCATTTCCTGTCAGCTAAATCTTTTCAGACTAGCCAATAGGATAAAAGTGTGAGGGTGGACCCCAATCAATGGCGGAAAGACGCAGTCATGTGAGGTTGGAATAAAACCAAACTCACTTCCTGTCTCTTGGGAGCTGATCCTCTGGTCAACAGCAGCCCATCTTGGCCAGCTGTTGGAGTGGTGGTTTCTTTGAGGCCCCGAACTTTCACACATTGGCTGTGTTACTTGCCTGGATGTGCGTGCACCATGGGCATGCCTGATGCCCACTGAGGCTAGGTCATCGGATCCACCAGGCCTGTAACTAAGAGCTACACCAGTTGTGAGCTACCACATGGGTGCTGAGAATCAAACCTGAGTCCTCCAGAAGAGCAGCCGGTGCTCTTAACCACTGAGCCATCTCTCCAGGGTTTCCTTGCCTTTTTAAAAGAGCGTTTCCCTGTGTAGCCCTGGCTGGCCTGGATATGCAGACCAGGCTGGCCCCTACCTCCAGAGTGCTGGGAGTCAGGGATTTGTCATAATACCTAGCCGTTTCTTCCATTTTTCAAGGATTACTGAGAGAATCAGAGCGGTGGAGTCACTTACCCAGCAACACACAGTAACAGAGTGCTGCAGCTGGGGTTGCCCAGCCTTGGTATCTATTTTCTGCTGCTTTTCTGATGGTGGCCAGAAGTGGCAAGGGAGTAGGCCTACTTTAGCTGTGGCATCTGCTTCGGCAGACCTCCAACGAGGTCAGCAATACACCTGGGTTTGGTTCCTGGGACTTGGCAACAGCATTGATCCAGGACAGACTTGTCTGCCTTTGGAAAGGAGTATGGGTGGACATGCAATAGTTCTGTCAGTGCCTGCCTGGTGTGTGTGCCATTTACATATCTGGAAACCCTTACAAACCTAAGAGAAAGTTATGTGTTTTTATACTTTTGCAGTACAGGGAATGGGACTCAGGTCCTTGTGCATGCTGGGCAAGCACTCTATTGCTAAGCTACACTCAGTGTTTTTTTTTCTTATGGGGGCCGGGTGTCTCACTAGTAGCTCTGGCTGTCCTGGAACTCACTATGTAGGCTGTTGGCCTCAAACCCAGAGCTCCTCCTGGCTCTGCCGGGTACTGGGATCAAAGGTGTGTGCTACTATGCCCAGGCCCTTTTACTTTTAAAGATTTTAAATAATGAGCATGTTGTTTGTTTGCATGCGAGCACAGGTGCCCCCGAGGTCGGAGAGAGCCTTGGATCCCCTGCAAGGCACCTGACCTGGGTGCCGGAGACCAAACTTGGGTTTTCTACAGATTTATGACTCTTGACCACTGAGACACCTTTCCAGCCTGACTTGACTTTTTTTTTTTGAGAAAGTGTTTCCACACCCAGTCCTTTTTTTTTTTACTTTTTTGAGACAGGGTCTAGGTTTCCTAGGATGGTTTTGAGCAGTAGTTTACTGGTTAGGTGTAAGACATCATGCTCAGGAAGAAGTCCTATTATTATACCCATTTCACAGCCAAAACACTGGTATAATGAGGCTAGTTTCCTTGTCCAACATCACTTAGATCTGGAAGCAAGAATTTAGCAACAGCCGTCCATTAACTGGATCTTTACAACCCCCCTCCCCAGTTAGAGCTAACGGGTATTCGGAGTGAAGCAGCTCTACTGCCTCGCTGTGCCACAGGAAAGGGGAAAGCAAATGCTAAAGAGCTAGAAGCATTCTGTGTAGCACCTCAGGCCTGAGAATACAACATCGGGGGTGGATGAGCTTCACTGCCGGAGCCCTTTCCAGTTCCAGTGTGCTAATGGCAGCCAAGAAGTGAAACCAAAAACTTAGAAATTGCACTTACATAAACATAGGCATGGTCTCATGAGTTTTTGACTTATTTCCGTGTAAGAGCGCTTTGCCTGCATGTGTTATGTGTATCTTGTGCATGTTTAATGCCTGAAGCCAGAAGAGGGTGTCATACCCTGCAACTGCAGTTCCAAGTGGAGGCGTCTACCCAGCGGCCTACACAAGAGCATGTCTGTTAAGTACTGAGCCCTCACAGGCATGCTCTGGAGGCACAAAAAACGGGTTTCTATTTCTTTGGTGTCCTGCGGTAAGAGGAAGGGAACCCCAGGTTCAGGGTCATGTCAAGGGGTCTGGGGTACAAGGCTGTAACTTAGCACCTCACTCACATACACCAGTACTTTGTGCGGCTGACCCATGTGTCCTGGCCCCTAATAACAATATGCTCCCTAAAGAATCTCCCACTCCCCAGGTTGCGGGCCACGCTCTTTCTGAGTTTGTAAAACGGTATGTCTGTGGACAGTTTTGTGGGCGTAACACTTCCCTACCAAGTTCACAGGGACTTGCTGCAGAAGCTGACCACACGAAGGTCTCCGGGTGTCATTCTTGGTGGACGGTCTGCAGCCATGGGTCTGTAGTAGCCGAGCACCTGGTGAGAACCAGGCAATTGGTACTCACAATAAAGATATTCTGGGATTCTCTCTGGTTGTTCTGAGTTGGGCTAAGCTGTCTTGGTGGTGAGGAAAAGCCACTCCTATGTGAATTTGCATAGGCTGGACCAATACTCTTCTCATGGCCTAGCCACACTCCCAACTCTTTGTAACCCAGGCTGGCTCAGCAGTCCCCTCAGAGCTGTTACAGATTGTGTGCCACTACACCTGGCTTTTTTTTTTTTTGATTTTTTGAGACAGGGTTTCTCCGTAGCTTTTTTGGTTCCTGTCCTGGAACTGGCTCTTGTAGACCAGGCTGGCCTTGAACTCACAGAGATCCACCTGCCCCTGCCTCTGAGTGCTGGGATTAAAGGCATGCGCCACCACCGCCTGGCTACACCTGGCTCTTGGATGGACTTTTTATGCAATGTCAATTTTTTTGAGTCTTATTTCTTAGCAGTTTGCAGCCTGGTCTATGGCTGTATTCAGCTTAGAGAATAAAAGCCTGGATTCCGTTACCAGCACCACCAGAACACAGACACAGACCCAGGACATCCCTTAAACCTAGGTCCTATTCGCCTTATAATAAACAGCACTCTAAAGCAATCTAAGTTCCTAGCATATCCACAGAGCGTTTCTCACTTTTCCCCAGGGCAGAACAGAGCCTGGGCCAGCTCTAAGCAGCTAGCCTAGCCTCCTAGCTCTGGTCTAGCCAGGTCTACCTAGTTGGCAGTGGGGATTCTGGCAGATGGTATTTTATTTTTTTTTTTTTTTTTAATTTAATTTATTTATTTATTAAGGATTTCTGCCTCGTCCCCACAACCGCTTCCCATTTCCCTCCCCCTCCCCCGATCAAGTCCCCCCCCCTCATCTGCTCGAAGAGCAATCAGGGTTCCCTGACCTGTGGGAAGCCCAAGGACTGCCCACCTCTATCCAGGTCTCGTAAGGTGAGCATTCAAACTGCCTAGGCTCCCACAAAGCCAGTACGTGCAGTAGGATCAAAGCAGATGGTATTTTAATCCTTAGCCCTGGTGGTTGGTTACTAGGTCCCCAGATGTGGCCAGGAGCCTTGCAAGGCAGAAAGGGTGTTAGGGGCAGGCCTGTCCTAGCTCCGCCTTCACCACAGTGATGCTGGGGTTTAGAATGGGGAAGCCTATGTGTCCCAGGAAGGGAAACTCTCACCATGCCGCCCTCCCCCCAGCAAAGCCCTCAAACAGAGTCGAAGGACTGCTCCCCTGAGGTTTAGCATCAGTCTTTAATGCTGTCACACTGCATAATGACAAGTCACACACTTTGGTCTCGTGTTCGTAGTGGCAACTTACAATGAGTCAAATGTCAGAGCACTGGGCTAGCTTCAAAGAACAGACACCTTCACTCCCAGGTCTGCTTCCATCACAGCCCTGGACAGCAGTAGTTGACAGGGACTGCGTTCATCTGAGTGCACACCAGCTTCGAATGGAATTATAAAAACATTTACAGACGTTCCACAGTGCTCCTTTCATCAGAAGCAAAGACCCTTTTATATAAAGGGATTATATTTCGGGCTGTGCAAAATTCAAAAGGAATGTATCCTTTTGAGAGTTCAGAGTCCATTACACACACACAAAAAATCACCTGGGTCTCTGAAGTCCCAGGTATGGCCAAGGACTACCTTTGGGCCGACAAACACCGTGACATAAGCCAACCAGCTGACTTCAACAGAGCCAGAAGTCCAGGAATTTCCTGGTCGTTCAAGTCTCAAACCTGGAGGAGGTGGCAGTGAGACTTGCCCACCTGAGGTTGGCCCCGTGGCCCTGTCACCAGGTATTGCTTGTGATGCTGGCCTGGCAGTCCTACTGAATTGCTCTCAATTTGAGATGGCCAAGACAAGACAGGATTCTTCTGGGGAGAAACAAGGCTTGGGACAAATACAGAAGAAAACAAGAACCTCTCACACAGTGGAGACTGACTAGTGCACAGGGTCTGGTACCCGAGATGGCAGCCAGAAACTAAAGGACAGCAAAGGGGTGAATCCAGTCACAGGCCTGCCTCATACCCTCGGGCAGGAGCTGGGGTGCAGAGGGTGGCTCCATTCCAGGAGGGCTGCTGTTCCCACCGCCTGCCTATCGCTCAAAAAATCACTGTAGTCTAGTGTGCGACTTTGAAAGATTGTAATATATTCTGTGGAAAACATTCGGCAGAGCAGAAGCCCTCCCTGGGCCCTCCCGCAGTATGCAACCAGTGAAAGGTCTGGAAAAGTCCCTGCTCAGTCCTCGGGGAATGCAGGCGGCTAGATGGGAAGAACCTGCTCCAGGAGGGTTCTGGATGCCAGGGGAATCCTTTCGGGGAAGATGACTTCAAACTCAATAACAAGGTCCCCACGTTTTTCAGGTGTTTTGGGGAGAGGCAGGCCTTCTCCAGGAACTTTCCGCCGCATTCCAGGCCTGATGACGTCTTTGAATACAACAGGGATGGTCCTGCCGTCCAGAGTGGGAACGTTCACAGTGCAACCACAGAGAGCCTAGGGATGCAAAAGGACCGTGTCAAGTGGGAGCTGGCTTAGGACGCTTGACTCCTCCAGGCCACCAGACCCATGCAGCTGAGCCCCCACTCCACACCTACCCATGCTGTTGGCACAGAAGAGCCTCAGCCAGCCTCCCCACTGCTCCCCCCAGAAGTCACCTCTCACGATTCCTCCCACCTGGTACCTTACCTCCCGAAGGCTAATCCTGGCTGGATAGATGACATCGGAACCATCTCTCTTGAAGATATTGTGTGGCTTGTCCTTTAAAACAAAGACGATGTCAGCTGGAATGTTGTTGGAGGTCTGGTCCCCTTCCTTGGGAAATGTGATTTTGGTCCCTTCTTTCCAGCCCCTCTTCACTTCGATGGTCAGGATCTTATCTTCATTTCGAATGCTCTTTCCATCAGGGTTCAGTCGCTTGTGGGAGATTTTCATTTTCTTGGTACAGCCGCTGTAGATCTCTTCAAGGGAGACCCGGAGGTCGTGGGTGACTGGGGGATCTTGCTTCTTTCGGGAGGGCTCTTGGGCAGGGCGGGTGCGTCCAAAGTTCACATTGGTGAAGCCACCCATACCCATGGGAAAGGCAGAGAACGGATCATCGATGTCCATGCCTTCCTCCCCGTTGCGCTGCCCGAAAAAGGTATCAAAGGGGTTTCTGCCACCGAAGAACTCAGCAAACATGGCATGAGGGTCTCCATGGAATGTGTAGCTGAAAGAGGTACCATTAGCACCACCACTGTTACCAACACTGGGGCCACCACCCTTTAGGCCTGGAAAACAAAATCACAAGTCAGAGTTACTGTAGAAGAGTCAAGGCCTTTGGTTTCCATTTCCAGCACTGCAATAAATCAACACATTTACAAAACATAAAATCCTTAAAATAGTCCGGCAGTGGTGCCACATGCCTTTAACGCCAGCACTTGGGAGGCAGAGGCAGGTTGGTCTCTCAATACCAGCTTGCGCTACAGAGCAAGTTCCATAGCTCCTGGGAAACCCTGTCTCGAAAAGCAAACAAACAAACAAAACCCCCAACAAAACAAACCCTTAAAATAAAAAGCTTGGCATGGTGCTGAATGCCTGAACCCCACCCAGAATTCTGAAGACAGAAGCAGGTTGGTCTCTGCAAGTTGCAGACCAGCCAGGGCTCCAATATGAGAAGCTGGAGATGGCTCAGAAATTAAGAGCACTTGCTCCCCTGGCAGAGGAACCATGTTCAGTTACCAACTCCCATATGGCAGCAGACAACCGAATAACTCCAGTTCTAGGGGATTCAAACACCCTCTTCTCTTGAAGCATGTGCAAACATATATGCAAACACTCATGTACACAGAAGTAAAAATAAATTAAAAATAAATGAAAGCCTGAACAGTGAGATCTTGTGACTGTCATGCTACAGCACTTTCTGAGTAGTCCAGGTTAGCCTTAGGCAATCCTTCTGACTCAGCCGTCTGGGACCGTCACTGTTCTTTTGGAAACAGTAGTTCATTCTGTGGCTCAGATCTGCGGCAAATTCACAAAATGCTTCAGTCTCCAAAGTAGGGGTGAGCTCCCACACCAGGCTCAACAAGTTTTGCTTTTAGTATTAAAAAAAAAAAAAAGCCCCGGTAACCGTAGTGGAAGGGGAAATACATATTTTAAAGCTTGTTGCAGCTACGTAAAAACCAATGTCAAGTCTTTAACTGCTAATGGCAGCAGGAGCAGGAAACACATCACTCCCTTTTTCTCCATGACAATTCGGCAGTAAGGCCTCCAGTTGTCGGTGCCACCACGTCTACCTGACTGCCCCATCCTCCCAGTCACGCTGTAACACCTACAGACAAGTTCCTACGCACTGCAACCGGAAAAGGCTCAACTCTGGGTTAAGCACTGAGCTTGCGGGCTAGCGGGACGAGGGAAACAAAACACTCGGGCAATTTTCAGATTCTCATACCCAAGCCGGGCGGTGGTGGCGCACGCCTTTAATCCCAGCACTTGGGAGGCAGAGGCAGGCGGATCTCTGTGAGTTCAAGACCAGCCTGGTCTATAAGAGCTAGTTCCAGGACAGGCTCCAAAACCACAGAGAAACCCTGTCTCGAAAAACCAAAAAAAAAAAAAAAAAAACCAAAAAAATCAGATTTTCATACCCTGGCGATCGCCGCCCTTCGTCTGCAGCGTTCCGGCCCTGTGCAGGCGGCCCGGCCGGGAGGGGCTGCGGCAGACGCGCTAGAAGCTTCTGTGCGAGCGGCGCGCCCAAAGCTCCTCCTCCCGGCTGAGGCCGCCGACAAGAGGGCGGAGACAGTACGGCCGCCAGATCCCCGGGCCGAGGCCTCAGCGAGGACCCGGGTCCCTCGGTTTCCCCGCCTGTCAAACGGCGGGTCACCCCCGGCCTCGTGCAAGTGTACCTTCCTCTCCGTAGCGGTCGAAAATCTCGCGCTTGCGCGGGTCGCTGAGCACATCGTAGGCCTCGGCGATCTCCTTGAACTTCTCCTCGGCGCCGGGCTCCTTGTTCTTGTCGGGGTGGTAGCGCAGCGCCTGGCGGCGGTAGGCTCGCTTGATCTCGTCGTCGGACGCGCCGCGGGCCAAGCCCAGCGTCTGGTAATAGTCCTTGCCCATGGCCACCGCCGCCCAGCTGTCGCCGCCTCCGGCTCCGCAGCTGCCCCGTCCCGGACTCTATATACCCGTCCGGCGGAAGCTTCCAGATCCCGCCAGCCCTCCAGAACCTTCCGCCCCTCCCGGCTCGCTGCGCCACTCCAGCCAATTGCTGCTGCCCGCTCCGTGACGTTGCACATCCGGGGTGGGACCCGGCTGCCAACGGCCTTCCGCGCGGGGCCACGCCCCTCCCCTCTCTACCCTTGTTAACGCCTCCCCGCGGCGCGCGCTCCCGCCCGTGCCTGAGGTCCCGCCTCCGCGGTGGAGACAGCCAATCGCGGCCCGCTCTCACTGCGCACCGGTGACGACACGAGGGAAGGGGCGGGGCTACGGAGGCTGGTCGCTCCGGGCATCCGGACCCTCGCTCTAGGTGCGGAGCAGTGCGGTCCTGCCCGGTGACTTGTAGCTTCCTGACCCAAACCTCCAAGCACGCACCCCGCCCTCTTCTGCCGCTGGCTCCGTCCAGGCCGTTACTAAAGCGAGGTGAGGCTGGTCTGGCGAGGGATCGCCCCAGTCCGGCTGCCACTCAGGCTTTTCTTCCTGCTGATTCCTCTTGGCATTATCTGGGTTCTTTTTTTTTTTTGTATATATAATTTTATTTACTTATTTTATGTGCATTGGTGCTTTGCCTGCATTGAGGGTGTCAGATCCTCTGGAACCATATAGTTACAGACAATTGTGAGCTGCCATGTAGGTGCTGGGTTCTTTGGAAGAGCAGACAGTGCTCTATATATTAGACAACCTCTATATTATATATATTCTTATGTAATTGTATTAGATCTTTTTGAATAAGTAAACTGAAAACTAAAAAAATCTGACAGAAATGGAATTTATCACCCAGCACACAGGTGGCTGAGACAGAAGGATCTTGAGTTCCAGGTCACCTAGTCTACATAGCAAAGGCCTGTCGCACGCTTTGAAGGAGCTGGAAAAGGAGGAGGAAGGGGAATTTCTTGTTGTTGTGTTTGTTTTTAGAGACAATTTGAGCAGCTGTGATGGGTCTTGAACTCAGATCCTCCTACCTCTGCCTCCTGAGGGGCAGGGAGAATTTTGAATGGAATGCAATACATTGTTATGATCTGCAGCTGCCAGTTTCCCACGTGTGATACTCATTTAAATGGCTCACAACACTGAACGTTCTGTCTTACATGCCGAGTTTTAAAAACTAGAAAAGGGGGCTGGAGAGATGGCTCAGAGATTAAGAACACTGACTGTTCTTCCAGAGGTCCTGAGTTCAATTCCCAGCAACCACATGGTGGCTCACAACCATCTGTAATGAGATCTGGTACCCTCTTGTACACACAATAAATAAATAAATAAATAAATAAATAAATACTAGAAAAAAACAGCTTAAAATAAGTTAACTTATGCTGTCTGAACTTTCACATATGCATATTATCGTATTAACTCTGATCCCACTTCTATGCCAATATTTAGGAGGTGCTAGCACCGTAACTCATTGTTGGGAAGAGCAGCCTTGTATTAGAAGGAAGACCAAATGAACAATGCTTTCTTAACTTGCCCAAAAACAAAACATTTATCCAAATAGCTGTGGTCTCCTGGGTTCTTGGCGTCCGTGGTAAATGTCACTTCCTTTGCTGTGAGTTTACCACCAGGCAGAGGTTGGATCTTGCTGTGTGGGTTTGCATCTCTTTCAAGATCCACTAGGTGCTTCCTAACTATTTCCAGATGTTTGACGTGGGTGCTTTTTCGCTGTGGGGGAACAGAGTACCTCTGTTACTTGAATCTGTAGGTTTCCTAAGCCTGGGATGATGGAAGTCAAGGATACAGCCAAGTGCTGAAGGGGACGGAGCTTCTGAAACTGCCAGGTCTAGAGAAGCTGGAGTAGTGGTGGTTCCTGCAGGCAGAGGAGCTTGGAAGTCAGAGCATGAAAGCATGACTTTTTTTTTTGTTTTGTTTTTCGAGACAGGGTTTCTCTGTAGCTTTGGTGCCTGTCCTGGAACTAGCTCTTGTAGACCAGGCTGGCTTCAAACTCCCAGAGATCCGCCTGCCTCTGCCTCCCTAGTGCGCCACCACCGCCCGGCTCAGGAAAGCATGACTTATTGTAGCCAGAGAGTAGGCCTGTTTCAGATCCTAGCACTTCCTGACTGTGTGACCTTGGGCTGGTAAAGTAACCATTCTGGCCTCAGCTGTGCTCTCGTGCTTGCCTGTAAAGTGGGAAGGGCCGCTGTATATGGGAAGCTGACATTATTTGGCATCTATGAAAGTCCTCAAGACAGACCAAGAACAAAGGAATGGCCAATCTTGTTTAGTGGACGACGCTGACGCCTCCTCTCTGGCACCTGGCAGCATAAGAGGCTCTGTTGATCCTTGCCCTGCGCAGCCTGAGACCCCTGAGAAAGATGACCCTAGCCTTCCCTTGATGGTTGTTGACCAGGGTGTGTGTGTTCCGGTTTTCCTTGCCACACTGACCCCAAGAGAGACCTGAAAAGGACTCTACCTAAAAACACAGTTGAGCCTCCGACGCCAATAGACTGGGGACTAGGGAACCCACTAGCTCAGCAGAGGGTGTCCTGAACCAATCACTTGGAGAGAAATAACAAGAGGTCTGGTACAGTGGCACCTTGTTTTAATTCCAGCTCCAGGAAGCTGCCATAGGAGGAGCCCTGTGTGGGGTCTGCCTGGCCTACAGACAGAGTGAGACCTTGCCTCAGAATAGATGAGTGGAAATAAGACGTGCATGAAGAACAGGAGGAGCGGTCCTAGCGGAAAAGCACCGAGCATGAACAGAAGAGCCGTCCTAGCCGGAAAGCACCCAGTATGAGGGACTCTTCAAATTTTGAGTATGGCTTTAATGGAGACGTTCAGGGGTACCTCTTGTGTGCTTGTCTGGGTTTCACTAAGGGCTTTTGCCATCTGGGAGGGTTCTATCTTGTCTGCCCTATTGTGCAAAGGAAATGTTTGTGTTTGGGGACAACCTCAAGGTTGGAAATGTCCCACTCTTTAAGTAGTGATGGGCAGACTACTATTGTGATTGCTACTGTTTTTTAAGCAAGGTCTGACCCTCTAGCTCGGTACCCCAGACTGATCTTGAATTTGTGATTGTCCCGCCTCAAATCTCCTTAATGCAGAGCTAGCAATCACGGGTCACCACACTATTAGGAAGTTTCAGTGGCTTAAAAACAGGTGTGGAAAACAAACAAACACTGCCTAGTGGTGCTACACCATCTTAATCCCAGTGCTGCACTGAGGCTGGAGGATCTCAGAGCAAGTTCAAGGACAGCCAAGGCTACACAGAGAGGAACAAAACCTAGGTGGACTGCTCCTGAGGAATGGCTCCCTCAGTCCTCTGGCCTTCATGTATATACTCACATAAACCTGTGCACCCCCATGACCTGCCCTCCTCCTCTGTGGACAGTGAATGTACACACACGAAGTTGTGTTTGCATTTACTGTGTGTGAACCTGGTTTGGTGCCCATGTGGAGGTCAGAGAACAGCTTCTGGGAGTCAGTTCCTTCCAGCATGTATGTTCCAGAGATTGGATTTAGACTTTAAGGCTTGGCAGCATGGGCCTTTATCTGCTGAACTGTCTTGCTGACCCCTAGACACAAAATATTTTTATTTGTTTGTTTTGTTTTTTTTGACACTTCTTGCCATGTAGCATCGTGCATAGCCTCACCAGCCTCAGACCCTTAGCCAGGATCAAAGCAGTACGTTTGGACTTAGCTGTCTAAAGTCAAGGCTTGCCAGGCGATGGTGGCACACGCCTTTATCCCAGCACTTGGGAGGCAGAGGCAGAGGCAGGCGGATCCCTGTGAGTTCGAGACCAGCCTGGTCTACAGAGCTAGTTCCAGGACAGGCTTCAAAGCCACAGAGAAACCCTGTCTCGAAAAACCAAAAAAAAAAAAAAATAATAATAATAAAATAAAGTCAAGGCCTGCATTCTGGGAGTAGATCTATACTGGATAAAATGGACATAATAGATTTTACTTCCTAGCATTGCCACGTGGGTGTTGCTCAGGGGCTGGGAACGGATGTGTCAGAGGACCAGCCCAGCTGGCTCAGGAAGGTGGAGTCAAATGTGCTGTGGAATAATCCTGTGCACACTGTGAAGATGCGTTGCTCTCGTTATTTTTTTTTAAATATTTATTTATTATGTATACAATATTCTGTTTGCGTGTATGTCTCCAGGCCAGAAGAGGGCACCAGACCTCATTTCAGATGGTTGTGAGCTACCATGTGGTTGCTGGGAATTGAACTCAGGACCTTTGGAAGAGCAGGCGATGCTCTTAACCACTGAGCCATCTCTCCAGCCCCCTGCTCTCGTTATTAATAAGCCGATTGGCTGATGGTTAGGCAGGATTTGGGGGGCAGAGAGAATGCTGAGAAGAGGAGGGACGGAGTCTCCGGAGTCACAAGGAGATTCCCTGAGACTCAGAGCGAGCAGGATGGGAAGTGCGTGCGCAGAGGAGGTAAATGAACCTGGGGGCAGGCAGCACATAGAAGAATGGAAACGTTAATTTATGTTCTCAGAGCTGCCCAGGCCACACAGAGAGTAAAGCATGGAAAAGCTTGCTGGACTGAGCCCTTACACGGGGCACTGGTGTGTGATGTGGCTCAAATGTTGAGAACGCATTAAAGAATTTTGCTATTGGGGGCTGGAGAGACGGCTCAGAGGTTAAGAGCATTGCCTGCTCTTCCAAAGGTCCTGAGTTCAATTCCCAGCAACCACGTGGTGGCTCACAACCATCTGTAATGAGGTCTGGTGCCCTCTTCTGGCCTGCAGGCATACAGACAGACAGAATATTGTATACATAATAAATAAATAAATGTTTAAAAAAAAAGAATTTTGCTATTACGAGGTGGTGGTGGTACACACCTATAATCCCATCACTCAGGAGGCAGAGGCAGGCAGATCTCTGAGTTTGAGGCCTCTCTCTCTGGTCTAGGATAGCCAGAACTACATAAAGAAACCCTGTCTCTTAAAAACAAAACAAATGAAAACAAATACAAAACAAAATTTACTGTTTCTCTTTTCAACTCCTTACCTGTTGAAAAACATGGCAGCTCCATTAGCCAGCACCACCATTGCTAGGTGGAAGTCTGTGTGCAATAAAGAGTTATGT